TTCGTGTCGGTATATAATCACCGGGAGCTACCGTCATGGTGTTCCCACCGATTTCCCAATACCCGCGCCAGCGTCGTCTGTACGGTCGTAGCATATTTCATTCTGTTCACGGCAATACAAGTTAAGTGATTCAAAAACAGATATTTTTTGGAAACCGCGCAAAAATGCCCATCACGCGAAGTATAATTTCCATTGCATAATCATTAAACCTTAAGTTTAATATTTAATGCCTCCAGTAAACCTTATTGTTACCTGAACAGAGCCAGTACTCCATTTTGAAATAATTATTTGCTTCATGGCGTATTACTCTCAAGGTGAGGGGTCATTTAATAGAACGGAAATTGACACTATTTTACACAGGTGCGTACGTGATCGCGTCTTGGGAAATCTAGCCCTCGTTTGAATATCTCAAGCTGGGTTGACATTTCACACAGAGTAATTTTGAAACGTCTTAAGAACGGAATAAAATGACGCACAGGTAATAATGTCGGAACACATAATATACACAGATAATCGACAACGGGACCAACCCAACTAGTTAACGCTCGAATTTGAATTATCAGTGGTACTGTGCGAGGTATTACGGAATCGAGCGATAATCCGCGGTGCTCTGTGACTCTTAGCGAATGTACGTGATACGCGTTGAATATAATGTGCAGATACACTTGGAAATTGAAACAGAGACTTATAACATATACTATGCTGTACTGTCTATAGTAGGAATAATAACATCAGTGGTGACAAAATCGAACGAACCACAATGCGCAACGATGGTGGCGCTGTGCAATACGTTTACCAAACTTTTTTTAAGGTACTCCAACAGATAAATGTTTTTGTCAATATGATGTACGCGATGACGACACGATGCAGAAGATTGCGAAGCGGGTGCTATTTATAGAAACACTCACGCAAGGGATTCTGTGTAGAATATGTTTGAAATTCGTTCATGACTATTTTTTTAGTAGGGCTCTTGAATGAATAGTGTTTATTTCTTTCTTTTTTAAGTTGAGTCGCACAATCGGCTCACCGCCGGCCATCCATGTTCCAACACCGAATGTCACTGTTGCCTCTCCAGAAACTCCTGTTTGATCGTACAAATAGAGCATTTTGTCATAAAACGTGATATTCATGGTTTATATAACCTAGGTAATTCGTAAGTAAGTGAGTTAATGAGTCTTGGCTAGTGGGTTTGGCGTCTCAGTTGTGTGTATCACTTTCAGCCAGGTATAGATCCCAGTGTTGTTTTGTATAATGTTCTTTTCACGTCAACTGTTATTCCCAAGCAAACATCGTAACCAGACTGGAGTTCTCCAATATTGGTATTCTAATTTATGATATTTTTTCAGTCTACTCCGTTTTCCGAAATGGAATAGTAAAGTCGATTTCCCACGGCGTAGCTTGATGACGATCTCAACATTGAATCTATGCAGGATTTATGGTGAAGAGGTCACATTTACATTGACGTCATTACCACGTATAGATGATAGGTCTAGACAATGATACTTTTATCATTTTTCGTGATCATTAAATACCGGTCACATTGCAACCAGCGGCTCTTAGGTCAAAATGGTTGAACAGCTTTGCAATGCAACATTTAGCGATGTTAATGTTGTCCCATTTCAAGTTCTCATTAAAATTTTCACTAATAATTGAAAAACATATGTATTAGATATAATTATACATCTGACACCGAAAACAATCGAATCCACCCGTCCATAAAACGCCGTACGGACGTACTCGAAAGGGTTACGGACGCGTTCGAATATGTTCTTTAATTTACTTGGAAAGTGTGCATCGCGTTTACATTACATTCACGAACACTTTCCGTAATTTAGTTGCAGAATCGTCGTTATCAGCGCATCATGGTGGTGGAAATAGAACCCCGTCACTGAACACTTAACACGAGAAACGCTCTTCGTTGTCATTTCAGGCTGTTATTTCTTATTAAATTATTACCTGCAAGCGCAAGAATATCTTCCTTAGGCAATACGGAAACGCATCGACCCACTAGTACGATACGCCGGCGTCAGTCGAAACCTTATATTACACAATAAATATTACATTCGCTCTCAATATTGCCATGACTACAAGGCGTATGTCGCGAAATGTGATGAGCTAAATAATTTAGCAATGCCGCCATCTAAAATCAGCAATTGGACAGGAAAGATTATTTCGTAATTAGTAATTTAATTCGACTGCTGTGGAATACTTATTTCTGCTTGGAATTCATTTTCGCTATT